GGGTGAACGCCCCCAAAAAAAAAAATACAAAAAAAAAAATCACCAACAAATAAAAATTTATATATTTTAAATTAAATATATTTAATTATACAAAAATACAAAAAAATCTTAAATTATATTTAATTATATTGTGATTTAATTATATTATAATATATTTGTATTATTATTATATTAGAAGACATTTCCCCCAAAATTTCTACTACTATAAAGTGCCTTTTTTTTGTTGTAATTCTTATTAATCTTAGTGCTACATTTTTAGATTCTCATTTATATAGTTAATACATTAATGTACAGTAATTACTTTAACAAAGAATTACCATAATTTTTATATAGTAATTAATCACAAAGGCTAAATAAAACATCACCACAATTTTTTTTGTAAATAGAAATGTACACAATAAATGTAAATGATTAAACATGAAATAAAATATTTCATAAATAATTAATACTTAAAATAAAATATTAATAAATAATACAAAAATAATACTGATTACAATCAGCATGACATAATTCATATAACCCTATTTACTTCCATAATCTGATACTAGTGAGTGAAACAAGAGATTAAATTAAATAGAGCACAAAAAAATTGTAAACACTTCAAAAAATAATTGTCAATCAGTATTGTCTTGTTTTTCCACAAAAAAATTAAACGAAAAAATAAAATACTTATCTAAAAAAGCGCTCTCTAGCTTGCTTTCTAATCAAGTTTATTATGAATACTGTAGTATATTACAAATATTGTTGTTTATTTACATTAAATAAAAATGATACATATTAATCTTAATGTAATTTTAGATTCTAAATTAGATTCTAAGTATCAATTCCAATTGAATTATCATAAAGGGAGTAAAAACAATCATGATCTATAAATACTGTTTACATTTTTCTTAGTACCATTCACCCATATGTATACACACATGTAAAATACTCCAAGATAAATATGTAACATATTTAGTAGTTAAATGAAAGACGAAAAAGTATAAACGAATGCTGTGTACCTGCGTGGGGTGAGCCGTGAGTCGAGGCTGCGTGTTTTCATGGTGATGGTGTCTGTAAACAGCACGTCTTTAGCAGGAGACGCCAGCGCTTCGCTGTGTGAGAGAGACGGGTGGATCCTCTGCTGCTGCAGCCGTTTCAACGTGGCGTATCCCAGCGCATCACGGGGGCTCGTGTAGATGTAGCTGCAGTCCACCAGGGTCTTGATCGTGGCCACCGAGGGCGACTTCAGCGACTGCGCCCTGCGCGGCAGCGTGTGCGCCGACCCCAGAGGAACCAGCGAGGTGGAATTGGACTTGGACAACAGGATGTGGTTGTGGTTGGACTGAGGACTGAGCGAGTGTTGCATTTTCACAGTTTTGGCGCTGACCACCGTGTTGAGGCTGGCGCAGTCCGTATCCATGGCGATGGAGGAGGCGGGCTCTCGGGATGGGGAGGAGCTCATGGAGCTGATGCCACTGGTGGTCGTGTCCGTGTTGAAGCTATGACTGCGGCTCTTAAACGTGCCGCCGCCTGGCAGCACAGAGGCGCTGTCGCAGGTCAAACGCTCCCGCTGACCGTCGCCCGGGGTCACGGCCTTATGTTGACCTGTGCCTTCCAAATCCGAGCATCCCTCAGTGCCGTACGGCTCTGCTAGTGCTTTTATACCCACAAACGAAGTCTCAAGGCTGACCGTTGGGCTGCGAGGCATGCGACTGCCATTATAAAAGACCTCGCTCTGCCCCGAGTGGCCTGGAGAATAGTTCGAGAGCTCCGTTATGGTCCGGTTGCGCCGCATGAGCCGGAGCTCCTCGGGAGATTTTCCCGAGTTTGTCGTGCCTTTAGTGTCACTGGGGCTCCGTCCCTTCTTACTGGGCAGAGACAGGGAGTTCAGAAAGCGGTTTCGGAGATGTGAAGGGGTCAGGATGGTGAAGGGGCTTCTGTCCTTTGAGGTTTTTGTGTGCATACTGAGAGAAGAGTCCTCGTACATGTCCAAATCCTCGCGATCGTCATCCACGAAATACAAACCTAAGAGCAAAAAGTACAGTATCACAATGGATGTAAAACACAAAACAACAGATTGCAATGGCTATTTATGCATACATTTGTTTGTGTGCATGTTTTTAACTAAACTATTAAAAATAGTCGTAACTGAAATAAAGCTGAAAACAAATAATAGATGAAAAACTTAAATGAAAACTTGAAATTTTGCCTTGGCAACTAAAAAAAAAAAGAAAAAAAAGTTTAAGGTGAAGTGCTAAAATTAGTAAGTATTAAATAAGTATTAAAATAAATAAATAAACTTAATAATAAAAAAAGCATATAACAAAATTACTAAAACTAAAATTAAAATAAACACTGAAAATATTAAAAAGCTAATTCAAAATATTAATAAATAAACCTAAAATAATACTGGTTACAATCAGCATGACATAATTCATAACCCAATTTACTTCCATAATCTGACATACTAGTGAGCGAAACAAGAGATTCAATTAAATCGAGCACAAAAACAAAATAGTAAACACACTGCAAAAAATTATTTTGTCAATCAGTATTTTGTCTTGTTTTCCAAAAAAAATGTAATGAAAAAATAAAATACTTATCTAAAAAACAGCTCTCTAGCTTGCTTTCAAATCAAGTTTATTATGAATACTGTAGTATATTACAAATAGGCCTATCGTTGGCTCTAGGACTAATTGCTTTTGTTCCTCTTTTGTAAGTTGCTTTGAATAAAAGCATCTGCTAAATGTATAATGTAAATGTAAACATCCTTTAAACAAGGTCAATTTACTTTAAACAAGAAATAAAAACTAATAAATAAAATAAAAATATAAAAATGAAATGCAACATGTTTTCAGAGAATTCATCTTGAAAGAGTAATATTTTCTATCTTCCTCCATTGGCATAATTAGTGAATTTAGAGATGTGGTGCAAAATGATCAAGTATAACTGACGATAGAACCTCTCTAAACAATTATGCAACTACTAAATCTATCTCGCTTAAGGATATTTAGATATTTTACTTGCAAACAAGGGGGTTGACATGTTAAGCATGTGCATTGACTCACTGGGCTGACTTTCGCTCTCGCTGTTGTGGCGTGAGCTGGTGGACTCCGAGTTGAGGCTGAGTGTGCTGGGCACTGATGACAGTTCGCTGGGTAGCGGAGCATCCACTTCATCAGGGACGACAGGCCACTGCTGCCTGCGGCTGTGCCGAACGGAGTCCCATCCCAAAGCCTTCAGCACATCACTGCCCTGCCGTGTGCGGCTGATCACACCCAGCACATACACACACGTACTGCACAGACAGCACTGCTTGTTACTTACTGGATATATGATGTAAGTTTATTGCTATTTGGACTACTATTATTTAAGTTAGCGGTCCACACACAGTCAAACTTGGAACACTCTGGCAAATCAAAAAGATACTGAGAGTGTCAAAGCAAAAGGAAGGGGAAGGTTTAAAAGTGCTCAACTTTGTAAAATATAAAAAATGTTGCTGTTTGACTTACAAAGCCATTTGAAATGAGACAATGTTTCAGGAATTTCTGGTTAAACACTACAGTGCAAGAGTTTGGGGTCAGTATGATTTTTTTTAATGCTTCTGAAAGGTCTCTTATGCTCACCAAGGCTGCATTTATTTGAGTGAAAATACAGTAAAAACAGTGAAATATTACAATTTAAAAGAACCGTTTACGATTTGAATACATTTTAAATTGTAATTTATTCCTGTGATGCAAAGCTGAATTTTCAGCATCATTACGCCAGTCTTCAGTGTCACATGATCCTTCAGAAATCATCATAATATGCTAAAAATATTTTTGTGGAAACTGATTTTTTTTTTCAGGATTCTGTGCTGAACAGAACATTCAAAAGAACAGCATTTATTTGAAATAGAATTATAAATGTCTTTACTGTTACTTTTGATCAATTTAATGGATCCACGCTGAACAAAAGTATCAATTTCTTAACAAAAAAAAAATCTTACTGATCTCAAACTGCATGTAAACACTGTTTTTTACATCAAGCTAGCAGACACATTTTAGCAAGTCGTGACCTTGAAAGATTGGGTCTTACAGAATGAATATATATTGGATTACACTATGCTATGTATCTGCCTCTTGCTAGCATGTGTATTGTTCCCACAGATTCTGTTCATGTGCATTAAGTTGTAAATAACCAAATACATTCCTAAATTAGGCAGTCTTACCCACGTATGGACAGAACCTCACAGTGCTGAGCCAGAACAATAATATCTGGAATCACGTTCTCCTCCTGTAGGAGGTTCAGACCCCAGTTTGAGCTGCCAATGTTGCCCTGAAATATTAAAAAAGACAAATATTCAAGCCAAAAACTTGCTTACAATGAAACCAGAGACATTCAAGGAGATCCTAGTACAAACAGTATGCAAAAACAATCACTGACCAGAGCCCATAGTGCCGCCTTCAGCTGTTTAATGCCTTCCCATTTATCCAACACTGGAGATCGGACTGTGTAGCTGAGATCCGGGATAACACCCTAACAAACGCACAAAGATTAACACACAAGTGCACAAAAACAAACAATGCTACACTGCCATAGCAAGCAGCGTACGTGTAATTGGGTACCTGAGCTTCCAGCAGCAGGCAGCCGGTTTTATCATGGACCAACTGCCCATATAAATGCACAGGGAGAAACACATTTGGCCTCTGTAACCTATAAGATAAATGCTTTGATTTAAAAAAGTATACATTGTTAATATATATTCATAACAGTGTTATTTTAGTTATTATTTATCTATAGCTTTTATTGTTTAGAGTTTTCATTTAAATTTTGAGTCAGGGATAGCTTTTATAATTTATTATATTTTTATTTTATGTCAATTATCGAAAACAATTGTAATAGTTTTAGTTCTAGTTAACAATAACATCCTTAAAGGGGTCATATGATGCGATTTCAATTTTTCCTTTCTCTTTGAAGTGTTACAAGCTCTTGGTGCATAAAGAAGATCTGTAAAGTTGCAAAGACTAAAGTCGCAAATCCAAAGAGATATTCTTTATAAAAGTTAAGAGTCAGCCACGCCTACCTAAAACAGCTCGTTCTAACACGCCCCCACGTCTACGTCATGATGTGGGAAGATTTGCATAACACCGCCCAAATGTTCACGCAAAGAAAGAAGGCGTAACTTTTATTCTCGCTGTAGTATTGTTGCTGCAGCCATGTCATGAAGGCGCAGTGTTTCTCGTTGTGAAAGCAAAACTACTTTGTTTGGCCTTCCAAAAGAGGACTTTATAATGGGTTTTAATGTTTTTGTCTCGTCACTCCGGCCGGACAGGGCATCACAGTATGGTAGGGGCGTAACATTTCTGTCACACGCTTGAGGTATTCGGCCAATCACAACGCACTGCATAGCTGGCCAATCAGAGCACACCTCGCTTTTCAGACCGATGAGCTTTGTAAAAATCGAAGTGTTTCAGAACAGCGGAGCACATGTACACATGTACAGTATGTGGAAAATAATGTTTTTTGAACCTTAAACCGCATAAACATTTCATTAAACCAAATACACAAAATAATATTCTTTTTAGCAACATCATATGACCCCTTCAATTCATGCCTAGGGTCAAGGACTTGTTCAAATCATTAACGTTGAAGGGATAGTTCAACCAAAAATGAAAATTGTTATTTTTCTATTCCTCATTGAGTCTCTTTCTTCTGCTGGACATGAATGAAAATATTCTGAAGAATGTTGGTAACCAAACAGTTGATGGTAGCCATTGACTTCCATAGTATTTTTTTCTATACTATGCAAGTCAATGGCAACCATCAATTGTTCTTCAGAATATCTTCTTCAGAATATCAGAAACGCATACAGGTTTGGAACAACTTGAGGGTGAGTAAATGATGACACAATTTTCATTTTGGGTGAACTATCCCTTTAAGTATGCGCAATAGTATTGGTAATTTGCTAATATATTAATAACTGACTTCTTTATTCACAAGCCCTTTATCAAGGAGTGCTAAGACCTTTGGTTGCTGCGACGGACGTAGTTGTCTCCATCGACAGGTTTGCGGTATGTTGTGAGAGCTTCATTCAACTGCTCCTCAATCATGTCCACATACTTCAGATTATACCCCTGCAAAAACACACACAGCTCAATACATCTGCATTCAAGAGAAACAAACACAGACACAGGCGTCAAACCAAAGGCTGAGAGAGAGTCACTGCTTTGATGCTTTCACCTTCTGCCATTTATCGAGCTGTTTGTTGACGTAGCCTCTTTCATTGAGGTAAGAGAAGCCCTTTGGGATGGACAGGAACCTACAGAGGAGAGCAGAGAGACATTTAGCACATTACATTTATTCTTTTAGCAGATGACTTACAAACGAGGACTACAACAAGTTATGAGCTTATTTAAATATTTAATTTTATACCATTAACAGATTCAGATATTGTCTTTATGTATGACTGCTCAATAACTTCATAAAAAATTTAAATAAATTAATTCCATTACACACATTTCAGATTTTTAGTAAGTGTTTGATTTTGATTGTATTATTTAAAATGATTTTTTTTTATATCATCAACAAACCCTCTGCAGTTCCCTCATGAACCCCAGTTTGAGAAACTAGCTAAAAGGTTTCTTTTTAAGCGATACATTTATGTAGCAAACACACTTAAACTGAAAAGCAAGACTGTTTTACCTCAACAGCAGCAGAAGGCCTTTCTCTCCCAGGTGAGACAGAGCTGGTTTCATGTGGATCAGAGCGTGCAGGCTGGCCTGGAGTGATCACAACACAGCAGAATTAAAGAGCATTAGACTTGCTGTAAGAAACACATTTAACTGAAACAAATCAATCAGCATCGTGGGTAATATTTTATCAAATTACCAAAGTATTACATTATTTAATGCTTAACATATCATTACCAAAATATTTAGACATTTTAGCAAATGGCTGCAATATAACAAAGAGTGAAAAATTTAAGGGGGTCTGAATACTTTCCGTACCCACTGTATATTCATATCTGAAACTACATGAACTAATGATCTGCATGTCATCCTCAACTTGCTGCAGCGGTGATGCTGATTACCTTCTCTTCACAGGCTTCGTCCAGGATGTCCAGTGCCTCCATGGAAACAGTTTTGTTGTGGTCATGCAGCTGTGTGACTAACAACTCCATCCCCCAGTTACGGAAGAACTCAACGTTAGCGCGCAGCAGCACACGCAGGTGTTTGGTGGCGTACATACGGCAGTTCTGTTACAATACAAACAGGGAGAATTGCTACAAAGTTCATCTGATATCAATCGATATTCAACTATACAGAGTCAGAAGCACTTGAGAAGGTTTCACAAGAATCTTATAGGATGGATATCACCGTTATCTGCCATATATCGACTCTTAAATGTCAAACAAATCTGGTTTATTTTATTATGTTTTTCAAATGAAGACTTAAAACCAGTGTTATTTTAGTTTCACTGAGATACTATTATAGTTTATAGTAATATTTTGAATAATTTTTTATTTTTATATTTCCCATTTTCATTTGATTTTAGTTAAAAAGTTTGTCATTTTGTTAAGCATTTTCTCATTTTTATTAGTTT